AGAGAGAGAGAGAGAGAGGAGAGACAGCCAGGAGAGAGAGAGAGAGAGGGGAGAGATAGCCACGAGAGAGAGAGCGGGGAGAGACAGCCAGGAGAGAGAGGAGAGACAGCCAGGAGAGACAGCCAGGAGAGAGAGAGGAGAGACAGCCAGGAGAGAGAGAGAGGAGAGACAGCCAGGAGAGAGAGAGAGAGAGAGGAGAGACAGCCAGGAGAGAGAGAGAGAGAGAGGAGAGACAGCCAGGAGAGAGAGAGAGAGAGAGGAGAGACAGCCAGGAGAGAGAGAGAGAGAGAGGAGAGACAGCCAGGAGAGAGAGAGAGAGAGAGGAGAGACAGCCAGGAGAGAGAGAGAGAGAGAGGAGAGACAGCCAGGAGAGAGAGAGAGAGAGAGGAGAGACAGCCAGGAGAGAGAGAGAGAGAGAGGAGAGACAGCCAGGAGAGAGAGAGAGAGAGAGGAGAGACAGCCAGGAGAGAGAGAGAGAGAGAGGAGAGACAGCCAGGAGAGAGAGAGAGAGAGAGGAGAGACAGCCAGGAGAGAGAGAGAGAGAGAGGGGGGAGAGATAGCCACGAGAGAGAGAGGGGAGAGACAGCCATGTATGCCCCATTAAAGATTGCAGGTTTGGTCTAATCTGACTGCATTGAATCTCCGGTATATTTTATTCTTGTGGCTAATGCATGTGAGCGTGCGCCCGGATCTGCCGCCATGTCTTGGCGCCGTGTTCTCCACCTGAGCCTTTCCCCAGCTTCGCGCGGTTGCGTCATGTCACAGCTGTGCAGAGGAAATTGCGCTTTGCTGGTAAAGCGTTTCAGGCCGCATAGTGGCATCTGAGCAGTAAGTTCGCCCGACACTTTGATGGATGCCGGCGACATTTGTGACCGAGCCCCTCGGGGGGGATCGCTTGTAAATGATTGGCTTTGTACGTCTCTCTTGGCCGGGTTGTGGAAAATGAAACATGTCCTGGAAGAGGCAGGTAAACTATTTAAATTCTGCGGCGGGGGATTGCGAGGCTGCTGGAACGTCGCGCTGTGTACTAACAAGAGCGCCTAAAGTCAAAATCAAACGGCTTTCATTGCATGACTTGACCTTTTATTTCACCATTTCATATTCAGAGGTAAAAGGCTTTCCTGTTGCTGAATTCTCACCCCCTAGTCACATGATCGGTGCTGTGGGTCGATTGGAGGGTTCGAGTTCGGGTAGGGCTATTTAATCTGACCTCCATCATTCCCTTCAGTCTTCTATCTGACCTCCATGCTTCCCTTCAGCCTTCTATCTGACCTCCGTCCTTCCCTTCACTCTTCTATCTGACCTCCGTCCTTCCCTTCAGTCTTCTATCTGACCTCCGTCCTTCCCTTCAGTCTTCTATCTGACCTCCGTCCTTCCCTTCAGTCTTCTATCTGACCTCCGTCCTTCCCTTCAGTCTTCTATCTGACCTCCGTCCTTCCCTTCAGTCTTCTATCTGACCTCCGTCCTTCCCTTCAGTCTTCTATCTGACCTCCGTCCTTCCCTTCAGTCTTCTATCTGACCTCCGTCCTTCCCTTCAGTCTTCTATCTGACCTCCGTCCTTCCCTTCAGTCTTCTATCTGACCTCCGTCCTTCCCTTCAGTCTTCTATCTGACCTCCGTCCTTCCCTTCAGTCTTCTATCTGACCTCCGTCCTTCCCTTCAGTCTTCTATCTGACCTCCGTCCTTCCCTTCAGTCTTCTATCTGACCTCCGTCCTTCCCTTCAGTCTTCTATCTGACCTCCGTCCTTCCCTTCAGTCTTCTATCTGACCTCCGTCCTTCCCTTCAGTCTTCTATCTGACCTCCGTCCTTCCCTTCAGTCTTCTATCTGACCTCCGTCCTTCCCTTCAGTCTTCTATCTGACCTCCGTCCTTCCCTTCAGTCTTCTATCTGACCTCCGTCCTTCCCTTCAGTCTTCTATCTGACCTCCGTCCTTCCCTTCAGTCTTCTATCTGACCTCCGTCCTTCCCTTCAGTCTTCTATCTGACCTCCGTCCTTCCCTTCATTCTTCTATCTGACCTCCGTCCTCCCTTCAGTCTTCTAGTGATTGCTGAGATCACTTGTACAAAACAAGTGGCGGCTTCCCCGCTGTACATTGAGGTCTGCTTGCCCAAACTGGGGCTAAATGTAGAAAACAACTACCCGCCCCGCGCCCGGAACTGCATGTCCCGGGCATCGGGAGATAGAAATACCACACCCCTGCTGCCCCGAGGCCGGGCCTTGGTTGGCCTTGTGGGAAACCCGGCCCTGCCTGTACCCCTGTATGTTGTGGTCTCTTTCTTAGGAAGGTATCTAAATGCTTACTGAAAATAATCTTGCCATGTAGTTTGATTAGATTGATAGATGATAAAAAAAAATAACCCTGGGTGTCAAATGTACTAGTCATGCTAATGTACGGGTGACCTGCCGGTATAATCATTTGTAGAAAGGGTACCTAAAATGTTGAACTGTTTGTCCCTTTATCTGCTTCAAGCCATCTATCATTAATATCTGTCGTATCTTTTTGTTCCCCTTCAAGAGTGTGCGTTGACTCCTGAGAGCAGATGGCTTCGTTTAAGCGCCATCCTCCCGACTCGGCGCACTTTCCACTTCGGCCCGGACAGGCCGCCGCATTGACTCCTCCTCTTCTCTTGTCTTGCAGCTTCTTTGAACTGGAGAGCAGCGGTCTGAGGGACGAAATCAGATACCACTACAGATATAATGGAAAGTCAAGGACAGAAGCCTTCCCCTACCGCCTGGCGGACGGACAGTGGCACAAAGTGGCTTTGACGGTCAGCGCCACTCATGTCTTGCTTCACGTCGACTGCAACAAGTAAGTCACCGCTGATGCCGGCTCTCCGGCTGTCGCCGGTGTAAATTGAAAGTGCAAATCCTAAGTTGAAATTTCAAAAAGTACAGATTTAAAGGAGAACTGTGGGGTCAGGGCTTTTCCCCATAGTCCTCCTTAGGGTAACGGGAGGACACAAACTAGCGTCCTCTCGTCACCCTAAGCTCAGTATATAGGGAGCTGCTGCTCGCGGTATACTGAGACGCCGCAGCTGAAGCGGATCCCGACAATTATGTCTGGATCCGCCCAGCTGCGTGACTGACAGCTGGCTCTGCCTATCTAGCTGTGACAGGATCGAGAAGTGAGCGAACGCCGGTATGTGTTCACTCACTTCCCGATCTACTGAGCTGACCTGTGACAGTCTCATTGTCACAGGTCGCCTAGAACTATGAGGTGAGTGAAAAGCACGCCCCCCTCCCCCCCTCATAGTTCTCCTTTAATGACTGAAATAAAACATGTTTATGTTTTGGGTAGAGTCAGGGGCGTCCCGAGCCTGGGTGACACCCGGAGCGGTGTCCGAGTGTCATCCCGCCGAGACGTCACCGCACACGCACGACAGTATTCTGAATGGGTGTCACCCCTCCAATGGTGTTGCCCGGGTGCGGGCCGCACCCCCCTTGTGACGCCACTGGGTAGAGTAGAGAAGAGCTAACATGTCTGGGGGATTTTTATTCACCATTTGGGAGATTTTCTATCAAGCACCTCATCAAACATCCCTGGCCTGGTGGGGGTTTCTGGGGGAAAGTGAACTTCTTGGAATCTGGAAGTCCCTTTGATGATAAGGAGGCCCCAAGATATCTCCCCATCTACATGAATGAGCATAGGGTACTGTGGCAGTGCGGGGCAATGCCATGCAAGATGCTGGCGACACAGACACCCAGGACTCTCAGCCAGAGGAGCTGAGAGGTTCCGGAATATTAATAGATTTAAAGGGAAGAGGCCGGCCTTTCAGTTTCTTCCATCTTTTCTGGATTGTAGCCGGGATCTGGATCTCTGGAGATTTCTGAGAGTTCTGGTTGGGATGAAACCTCCAGTCCTGGGGTCAGGTGTTGCCAGTCATCAGGGGGCTGAGAGCGGCCTCATTAAGAGCCCATACCAGAGCTCAATGGAGGAGTTGGTGTGGGCTGCAGGTACATGAGGGCTCCTGCATATGTACCACAAATTGCACCCCTGGCCTCCTGTCCTGCTCCTGGTAACCAATGACGTCACTGGATGCCAGGAGCTGGGGGTGATGCCGGTCAGAGCATCCCAGGTTGCTAAGAGCTGCGGGTGGGAGGAGATGCTTAAGGCCCTTACACATCTCCTGGCCTGGCTCTTCGGTTACCTGAACTGGCACTGGCTGGAATCCCAACCAGCTCCTGGCAACCGGTGACATCACTGGTTGCCAGGAGCTGGGCAGGATGCCAGCAGGAGCTTCCCAGGTTGTTAACAACCGGGTGGGGAGATGTGTATGGCAGAGGGGCGTGGAGAGAAAAAAAAAAAAGTCAACTGTCTCCGTGGGTCAGCAAAAGCAGTGACCCCCTCCAAATGGCGCCCAGGGCACGTGCCATACCCTGGATTAGGGTTGCCACCTCATCTTCAAGCGAAACCCGAACACTATAGCATCACACGGACATATTCTTTTGGGAGAATGAGTCGTGGCTTATTCATATGTAATGGTTATACTGAGCTTAGGGTAACGGGCGGACGCTAGTTTGTGTCCTCCCGTTACCCTAAGTAGAACTATGGGGAAAAGCCTTAACCCCATAGTTCTCCTTTTAAGCCCAAACATTTTTTTTGTTTGTTTTGGATGGGGTAAGGGATGGTTAGAACCCCTGCCATGCTTTAATTTTCTACCAGGCTTCCATTAAAGAGATTTACGTTCATTTCCTGCCTCAGAGACACATCAGGAAGTGAAGCGAATCCTCTGCCACCGCCGTCTCTGGAATAAGTGTCCCGATTGGATGATTTTTCCCTGTGCGATGGCTTGCTGAGGAGGTAGAGGGATCAGAGAAAAGAGTTCTGTTGAAAGCATTGAGTGTGAAAAAAAAATATCCACTTTTTATACTTAAAAACCAGAGCTGTAGATGTTCCTATAATTTCCCCGTGTTTATGTGGCCACTTTACGTGTAAATAACGCTTCCGGGAGGTTCTCGTGGCGTTCTGCTTTTATGACTTAGTGGCATTGTATGTGTTCAGCTTCTCCTGCTTTTGTGCTGAAGAGCTGCAAAGTGTACAATGTAAGGAGGCGGCCTCCGGGGGGGAGGAGGGGAGGGGAAATCGGTCTTTACATTTACGGCTCTTTGAAACGCTCTTCACCACCTACAACCCGACCGCTGAAGAGGCTTCTGGCTTTTATTATATTTATTATATTTGTCAGAAATTTTCATTTTGACCTTTTTTTACATTAGAAGAAATATAAATGTTCTCGATGTTTTCACGCCCTTTTTTTTCATCGATTCCCTGGACTGATTTGATCTAATGGGCGCAGAGTATGTAGGCGATATGTCCTTTTATTGTCAATGGAACTCGACGTTGTGTCATATTTGGTTCATGGGTTCAGTTCATACAAAAGCCGGAATTTGAGGCTATTGGTTCTAATTGGAGTAAAAGCAGGGCCGGATTTCCCACAGGGCCAACCGAGGCTCGGCCCCGGGGCGGCAGGGAGTAGAGGGGCAGCCTAATCGGAGTAGAAGCAGGGCCGGATTTCCCACAAGGCCAACCGAGGCCCTGGTGCTGCAGGGAGTAGAGGGGCTGCAGGGAGTAAAGGGGCATCAGGGAGTAGAGGGGCAGCAGGGAGTAGAGGGGATGCAGGGAGTAGAGGGGCTGCATGGAGTAAAGGGGCAGCAGGGAGTAGAGGGGTTGCAGGGAGTAGAGGGGTTGCAGGGAGTAGAGGGGCTGCAGGGAGTAGAGGAGCAGCAGCAGGGAGTAGAGGGGCAGCAGCAGGGAGTAGAGGGGCAGCAGCAGGGAATAGAGGGGCAGCAGCAGGGAGTAAAGGGGCAGCAGCAGGGAGTAAAGGGGCAGCAGCAGGAAGTAGAGGTGCAGCAGCAGGGAGTAGAGGTGCAGCAGCAGGGAGTAGAGGGGCAACAGGGAGTAGAGGGGCAGCAGGGGTGTGGAATTCCCATCTCCCGACACCCATGACATGCAGTTTTGGGCGCTGGGTGGGCAGTTGTTTTCTACATTTAGCGCTGCTTTGGGCAAGCAGGGCTTAGGCCCCATTCACACTAAGCGACATACCCTTTGGAGCGGATCCGCGCGGCCGGGATAGTGCGACTTTCAGGGCGCCGTTCCAGCGACGGCAGCGCGACCTTCACCGTCGGACTGCATAAAAAAAAATCCACGGAAAAATTTGCCGGCGACTTCTCACGATATCGCGGCGGAAATCGAGGGGCAATCCGCTCAGTGTGAGTGGGGCCTAAATGTACAGCGGGGATGGGGGGGTGGCGGGTGGGGGGGCGCATTGGGGAACCTGGCATTGGGGCAGCAGAGAGAGTAAATCCGGCCCTGAGTAGAGGTCTGTGCTCCATAAAGTCTACAAACATCCTTAATGTGCGTCCATTTTAATAAAAGTCTCTTTTGGTTGCCCCTGTCTGCCTGACATCTTGTGTCCGGGTTTCAGCTACCATGAAACCCGGACACAGCATTCAAAACCCGGACTGTCCGGGTGAATCCTGGACAGATGGCAAGCAAGCCTTCTGTGCTCCCACCCTCAGCTCCGCCCCCTTTGTTCCACGAATCACAATCTCTCAACCTGCCTGCATTGCATAGAGAAGCTCGTATATCAGTCAGCTGATCACGTCCTTCGCTGGACTCTTATCAGTTACATTGTTCCCAGCTATTTTTGAGGACTACAGAATCCCTCCTCTCCTATATAGCGAAAGAGTAAAGGGGGGTATTTGTAGTCTTCTCTTCTTTCTGTTATCCTAATAACACCTAGCAAGGAATACAGAACCCCTCCTCTTTATGTAGAGGGAAGGGGGTATCTGTAGTCTTATCATCCTTCTGGTATCCTTATAACAGCTATCTAGAACTACAGAACGTTTCCTCTCTATGTAGAGAGAAGAGTAGGAAGGAGATGGGGGTATCTGTAGTCCTATCTTCTTTCTATCCTAATACCACCTATTAATCTATTAAGGACTACAGAACCCCTGCTCTTTATGTAGAGAGAAGAGAAGGAAAGGGGGGGTAGCTGTAGTCTTATCCTCTTTCTGTTATCCTAATAACACGTATCAAGGACTATAGAAACCCTCCTCTTTATGTGGAGAGAAGAGGAGAGGGGGGTATCTGTACTCCTATCTTCTTTCTGTTATCCTAATAACAGCTATCTAGGACTACAGAACCCATCCGCGTTATGTAGAGGAAAGGGGGCGGGGTGTATCTGTAGTCTTATCTTCCTTATGTTATACTAATACAGTGCAGTTGTCACCCTGGGACCGGAAGTGTGTTTCTGGCAGGATCACTAGGTAAAAATAATTGTATCAGTTCGTTGGAAATCTGGTCATGTGACTTCATTGATTAAAATGCATATTGCGTTCTTAGTGCGTTTTCCGTGCGTCGCCGATGACTACAATGTACAAAAAAAAAACCAAGCAATGCGCTGATATAAAGAGCGCCATAGACTATACCGGTAACCAGTTTTCATGCGCCGATCCTGCATCGCGGCGCATGTAAAATGCGACGGTGTCATTGGGACTGAAGGTTGACCTTCTCACCTCCTAAGCCCGGCGACGGGTTCTCTTTAAATCTTTCTCCTCCGGTTGCCGCAGGTGAGGCAGTTGTGTTTTTTTTCTCTCTCTCCCCGCCGACATTACCGGCAAAAACAGCTTGCCGGGGTAATGGATGTGTTGTGACGGGAACTTCGACCACCTGCGCGCATCTCCATTATGGCGGCGACCTGCGAATCTGACGGCTCTTTATTGCTCGCTGACATTTCAGGAAAGCGGAAAGCGGAACGTTTCTCAGCTCCATTTACCTTCTTTGTCGCCCCGAGCCGATCGACGCGCTTC